ATTTGACCATGCAAAAAGTGACTTGCTCCTCACCAACTCTCAATATTAATTTCCCTTCCGCAACATCAATAAGGGCTCGAGTAGTGGCCAGAAAAAGCCTTCCAAGAATTAAAGGCACCTCAAGATCTTGGGGCATATCCAAGACAACGAAATCAACGGGAATCACAAACTTGTCCACTTTAACCAAAACGTCTTCAGCAATTCCGTGGGGATATTTGACTGATCGGTCAGCCAGTTGTATGCACATATGTGTTGATTTAAGTGGACCGATTGCAAGCTTCTCATACAAGCAATAAAGCATCAAATTAATGCTTGCACCCAAATTAGCTAAGACATTATGAAAGATCAAATCTCCTATGGAGTAAGGGATAGTAAACTTACCTGGATCCTTGAGCTTTTTGGGCATCTCTTTCAACACCACTGCCGAACACTCCTCATTTAGCACCACCGATGTTGGTTCCCCCCACTTCCTTTTGTTTGATAGGAGTTCCTTCATAAACTTGGCATACTTGGGCATTTGTGTTAGTGCCTCCATGAATGGTAAGTTAATCTGAACTTGTTTAAAGAGTTTCAGAAACTTATTGAACTCCTCACTATCATTGTTTCTCTTCAAGTTTTCCGGGAAGGGGGAGGTGGGCAGTAAGCTTTGACTGGAACGGGCTGTTTTGGGGGTGCCTCCACCTCTTTCTTCTTCTCTTCTTCCTTCTTCTCCTCTTGGACGATTTCAACAGGTTCAACTTCTTCAAGTTTCTTCTCCGTGGCAGCAGGTTCAAGATCCCTTCCACTTCTTAGCGTGTTAGCGTGAACTTGCTCTCCTTGATTATTCTCAGTGTTACTAGGGAGGGATCCCATAGGCCTCTTAGATTGGGCCTTCGCTAGCTGACCCACTTGATTCTGTATGGTATGAAAACTTGCTGCAGTCATTTGTATGAACTTCTTGACTGTATCTTCCAAGCTGTTGTGGGCCTGCTGCCATTCAGGAATCTTCTGTTCCTGAGGTGGGGGGGCTTGCTGTGTCTGGGGCTGCTCGGATTGATTGTAGCTCCTAAACTGCTGCTGGTTCCCCTGCCCGTAGTTCCTATACTGGTGCTGATTGTAGGGCTGATTGTAATACCCCTGCCTCTGAAAATTCATAGCATCAACTTGCTCCACTCCAGAGGCTGCCAAGGTGTGGGCCATCATATTACATTAATGCGGCCAATGGAGTCCCCCACACGTACTACAAGATAGACTAATGGGTCCAGAGGTCACCATATTCACGCTAGGCATCGAGGAAGCAAGTTGCATCTTCTTTATATCCTCCACACTTGTTGATAGCTTCTACATCATGCTGGTCAATGTATCCACGCGTGTTGAAAGTGCTGAACTCTCATTGATCTCGTATAGGCCTGGAGCTTTTTGCTGAGCTGAACTCCTTGAGTTGTACCATGAAGCATTGTTGGTCACTATTTTCTCTATCGGTGCTTTTGCATGTTCGGTTGGGAGCTCAGGAAAAACACCATTTTCGGAAGCATCCAACATCATCCTTCCCTCATCATTGATACCACTGTAGAAATAGAAAATAACCTCACAGTTACTCAGCTTGCCCCTGAGGACAAAATCTTCTCAGCACCTTGAATCTCTTCCATGCTTCAGGTAGAGACTCCAATGAACCTTGCTTGAACTCCTGCAACTGCTTCTTCAGTTTCAATGCCTTAGACGTTGGAAAGTCTTCTTTGATGAAGACTCTATGCAGCTGGTCCCAAGTCTGGAGATGGTGGTGTGGATTGCTATCGAACCATCTCTGCGCATCATCCTTCAAGAAAGGGAAAAACATCATCCGCACCTGATCATCAGCTACTCCAGGGATCTTAAAAGTCTGGCACATCCTCAGAAATCGGGTAATGTGTGCCACTAGATCTTCAGTCAGTCCTCCTCCAAATTGGATGTTGGAAATCATACTGATCACCGTTGGTTTAATCTCGTAGTGGTTAGCAGTAACTCCTGACACTTGAATGCTGTCATATTCAAAAATTTCTCGAGTGAGGAACTCTGCAATGGTCTGCTGTTGATAGAGCGGATTGTCGTGCGGGACATAAGCATTGGCTTGAGGGCTTGCTGTCTAGGCTGGAAAGTTGGACGTTGTTGAACAGGCGGTACTTGAAGCTGATTTTGATACTGGTTCTGGAAAGAATTTTGGTGGGGTGACTGGTTCTGGAACGGGTTCCGGAAATTTTGGAGTTTGAGTATTTTTGGGAAAGAACGGAGGAGGGCGGTGATTTTGGAAACTTGGTGGGTGGTTTCTAGGAGAAATTAGTGAGGTGTTTATATAGAAATCAGGCTGAGTGGTGGTGATAGGGACTCCAGATTTCTCGGCGGTTCCAGATAAAGATTGATTCATGTTTGCTTTTTGCTCTCGTAGAGTCTTGCGATTCTGTCTGGCGAGCTTTTCGGTCTCAAGATTAAGAGGGACAAGCAGTTCTCCTCTCTTAGAGCGTGTATGCATAAACAGATCTAACCTCCACGATTAGAATTCAAAAATCTTACGAAAAACTACACACAAGTTGCCGAAATTAATCAACCCTTAAAACGACACCGGCCCCGACAACGGCGTCAAAAACTGATGTGAGTTTTCTCTAACTTAAAAATATGTAGTAGTATAGGGCTAAAATACGAGTATCGTCTCCCCAGAGACGGAAAAAAGGAATCAAGAATTAAATAAATTCAGCGATTAAAAAAAATACAACACACTTGCGATGTGCGAGATTTGATTTTTTTGGGAAATTAACTAATGCAAATAAGCAACTAAATTAAAAGGTTCTTTCTAATCAATGACGAAGCGGAACAAGGATTGATTCCGGGCTAATAAGATTTCTGGCTGATCAGACTTAATCACATGAAACTTATTTAATTGAGCAACGCTAATCAATACTAAGTTCTTACCGCTCTCGCGGTGTAGAGTACAATAATTTAGGGAACCAGCCTTATCTATCATGCGAACGATGAAGTGTGCATGGCCCCTTAACCGCTACTATTCTCTTAGCGAACGATTAAGAGTGTGAAAGTGTCCTAGAATAAATTAGATCTCTTAATTTATTCTACATGCAATTATAATCCTAGTGGCCATTCTAGGTTACAAGAGATATCATTTAAATCATTCATACACAAATTAAATAAAGATTCATGCAATTAATCCATCAAGAAACTAGCCATACATCATGACCAACCCCTTCATCAATCTCAAATCCCTAATTAAAACTACTCACAATTCATAATTGAAGAATCAACATGATTGAGATGAAAAGAATTAAGTGTCATTAATTAAAAAGTTGGAACTTACAAAAATCCCACAATCTTGAAGAACAAGGCTGAAACAACTCTCAAAAGTTGAAATAGGGTTTTTCTCTCTAAGTTCTGTGACATAAAACAGACAAACTGGGGGTCTTTAAATAGAAAAATCCGAAAACGGGGCGAAAAATGGACCGCACGGTTGTCTGCACGGTGTGCAGTACACCGTGCGGTCGCGCGAACAAAATTCCCGTCTCGTAAAATACTCTGCCCGCAAGGTGTGCGGGCACTTGCACGGTCCGACCGTGCGGGTAGTCCCGAGACCTGTTTCTGGACCGCGGGGCGTGCAGTTCAGACTTGTTGACTTGTAGCTCTCAGAATCACCCGCGGGGCGTGCGGTACTGACCCGCGGGCGCGCGAATGTCTCTTGAACCATATTCTTGCTCTTTTCTTCCCCGTTTGCTCCCGATTGATCCTATCTTCAATCTTTGACCTTTCTAGCCTCGAATCATGCTCTTAAATCATCCCGTGGACTTCTGGTGCTTCTTGCCATCTCTCGAACGCGTCCCAAATCTTCTCAAATTAAGCTCAAACGCCGATGCCGGGTCCAAATTCCTAATTTTCTCTTCAAATGCAAACCAAACCCGGTAAACCGTGACTTGAGGTAAATAAACACTTTGTGACTCAAATAAATTAGGAAAAGTGACAAAACTCAATCTCAACACGCATCAAATGCGTGTTGAAATACGAACTTATCAATACCAAGAACTTTAGAGAGGTCCATGAATCCCAACTTTGAAACATCACAATCATCAATACTGATCCTCCCTCCTTCTGGTTCCACAAGTCTGAATAAAGCATTAAACATGCTAGATTTCCCTTCCTTCTTTTTATTTTTTTCGCCTGCATCTTCAGATGTTCGTTTTTTATTAGCATATAAAACAGGCTTGGAGATTTTCCATCAACCTTTTCATTGTATTCCTCCTTGTCTGCATAATCCTCCATTTTTCCTGCATTTTCCACCAGTGTCTGAAAAATCATGCTGTTGTTTGAGGGGTATTCAAATGTACCTTCCCCTTTAACTGTACCATCATGCACCACTATAATTTGGTCTACTTGTGAAAGAAAGTGCAGCTGGTTTGTAACTAGAACTCTGCTCTTTCCTCTTAACTCTCCCCTGATGCACTTCTCAACACCCTACCGGCTCATATGAGCATCCATTGCACTTAAAGGCTCATCGAATATATAAACATCAGAATTAGAATAAACGGCTCTTGCCATGGATAGTCTTTGCTTCTGGACTCCACTAATATTGACTCATATTTCACCAATTTCAGTAAGATCACCACTAGAAATTAATTGAAGATTTTACAGGGTTTCTAGGTTTGAAGAATTAATCTTCCATGTATTATTGAGCCATCCGGCAATGATATATATACAAGATTACAGATAAACTAAGGTTTGTTACAGATCCTAAATATTAGGATCTATCTATTCTTATCTACACTGCTAGCTAATCTAAGAGTTAGAGTCCTAAATCAACTCTAATTCCTATCTATACAGTTCCGGATGTACACATAATAAAATAACATGTATATGCTACATTTTTCTACAGGGTTGAATTGACAGGGTCTTTAAACCTTGATCCCGAGCCCCTAATTGACAGGGTTGAATCAGTTGATAATAATTATGAATGTGATGGTTAAGTGGATTTTAATTTAATAATATTGTAGAGAATGGTGAAGGGAAACAAACAACGGATGTGATTGATTTTGATGATGAAGAGCTTCAAGCAGCATTTGAGAAATGGAAGGACAAAACATATGCTCTAACAGTTCCTTTAAGAATCATTTCCTTTAGGAACTCATTTCCTCCCGTATGGATCAAGGTATGTTATATTGCATTTATTATTTTATTTGTTTGCTTGCTGCCTGCCCTGCCCTGCCTTGCCCGTGTGCGTGCGTGGAAGCGTGGAATTATATATATATATATATTACAGCAAAAGGTCAAAGTTGCAACTTCTTTTTTGAAAAAATGACTGGGTAATAAAAGAAAAATTATCTGTTACAATATCACATAACATACGCACACACATTGCACACACGAAAATACAGTTGGTCGGATACATTTTTTAACATCTGTCAATCAAACCCTATCTTCTAATGGCTTTTATTCAACCCACAACAAGGGTCTTCATGTTCATTTTCAAGGAAAATATATGTGGCGGTGTGATAGGGGGACCTGGGCAGAGTAGTGCTATTAATAATAATATTAAAGAGTAGTATATAGGTACAATAGAATAAGTGGCAGGCGGAAATTCAGTTGGAATTGGTCTGGGAAAGAGACCTCTTGAAGAGTCTCAACTCCGTTTCTTCTCTTTCTTTCTATTTCCACCATTGTTGTTCTAGTAATTCTGATAATTCATCAGACTTCCTAATCAATATACTACTAAATTTCTTCTGCTTTTGTTGAGTACCTCTCATTAGTATCAGAGCATCAACAATTACTCGAGTGGAGAATGAGTTTTTAGTTTTTTACGCGTTCGCAAACGGAGATGAGAACTGTGGTGGAGGAGACACACCTATCATTGAAAGTGTCAAACTCAATTTGCCGGAGATGAGAACTGTGGTGGAGGAGATGCACAACTTGTTGCTTCAACAAGGTCACTGGCGATCTAGAGGACTATTGAGGACATCCAGACGTTGTTGGCATTATGAAAGCCAGGGCTCATCATCATTGTAGTAGATTCTCACAATTCACAGGCTTCGCTGCGAGCAGATTCTCCCAGTCTGCAGGCTTCATTGCGAGCAGATTCTCACAGTTGGCAGGCTTCACCATTCCGTCAGGAGTCTACGGACAGGGAACAGGGGTTTTGCTCGAACAGGGAGGAAGGTTGAGAGGGCGGCAATTGCTATGAAGGATAAAGCCCTCAACTGGTTCCAATGGTGGGAAGAACAAACTGAGGAATGTAATTGGGAGTCTTTAAAAATGCTGTGATCAGACGCTTCCAACCAGAGATGGTCCAAAACCAGTTTGGGCTCATGCTGAGGGTGTGAGGGTGAAACAAACTCGATCTGTCATGGAATGCGGAGAGAACTTTGAATTGGTGGTAGCTTATATGAAACTCACGGATTATGAGATGTTCAAATGCATTTCCATTGATAGGTTAAAGGAAGAGATTGGAGCTGAGTTGAAATTATTTCATTCCGGGAATATGGCAGAGTAAATGGATAGGGCCCTGTTTCTGGAAGGAAAAAATTCTGCTATTAAGGGATGAAGACACAAGGAGGGGAATAAGAGAGGATGGAATTATAAAGGAGGAGTTAGGAACACTCTACAAGGGGTAGAGAAATCAGGAGCCAACCAGATTTGTAAGGGGGTCAAAGACTATCCCAGGTTGAGTTACAAAAAAAAGTCAAATGGACTTATTTTTTAAAAGTGGGGACAAATGGAACAAAGAGCACACCTGGAGGAAGAAGTGGACTTCTTACGGCTATCTTGAGCAGAAGAAAATGAACCTGAGGGTGAGGTGAAACACTAGAACCTTCATGGTACAAGGAGAGCTATAGACAAACAAGAGAAGCAAACAGATTCTGATATTACTGAATTCTAGGGCCACCCATAATCTATATATCTGAAAGTCTGAAATTGATAGAAGAAGTGCAGATGCCCTATAAAGAAGCTGTAAGGTTTCAAGTAGAGATGGGGGAATGGATAGCAAATATCTCACCAGGGCATTTATGAGGGATTATAGATTTGGGTACAGAATTTAGTGATGACTCGTGACTTTTGTTAGACCTTGGGGGTACTCATGTGATTCTGGGAATGGAATGGTTAGCCAGTCTGAAAATTGTAGAGGAAAATTTCAGGAAACTCGGCATAAAATAGTTGGAAGATGGGTAAGAGATGCAGTTGCTGGGAGATTCTAACCTTTGCAACATTGTGGAGCATTATGCAACAATGTCTTTGCTTCTGCTTCTTCCTGCTGTTGAGGAAGTGATGATGAAGGTTCAAGTGATGATTATCAGGCTTCATAATCAATATACTATTAAAATTCTGTTGTGTTTGTTGAGTATATCATGGTGTGTTTGGAAAAACAACCATTCTTCTTGTACACACTTTCTTATACACACCTTATACACACTTTTGTGATAGGGCTATTTTTTGTCTGTGAACACTATATAAAAGGCTATATATTCACAGACAAAAAATAGCCTTATCACAGATGTGTGTATTAGGTGTGTATAAGAAATTGTGTACACACAAATTTTTTCTTGGAAAAATCACTGGCTCGTCTATAGCATTTGATTTTTAATGGGTTATTCACAAGCACGACCATGGGTGTGAAAGAAGTGGATGAAGAGTAAGAAATGAAGGTGATAGGAACCTATTAGTATAATAATAAAGTAATGTTACATAGTTTGTTATTTTGTTAAAGGGGGTCTAGGCCTGGTATTATTTAGTTATGGGCCGGCCCGTAAACAATGTATTATAAATAGGAGCTGGGAATAGAATAAAAAGGAGGCAGAAATTGGGTTAGGCTTTGGCTTGGGAGAGAGACACTCTCGAATTTGTCTCGTATCGATTTCTACTGTTCATCTTCAATTTCTTCGTCTGCTGTAACTCAGAGAATTATTATACAAATATTTCTTCTAATCTGTTCTGAAATCGCTGGTATCTATCATTGGTATCGAGCGCTACGATCCCTGGTGTGGAGATTCTATTTCTAAAAGAAGTCGGTCGCAGATGGAGGAGAACCAGGAGAAGATCGAACAAAATCAACAATCCTCCGCTGATTGGGCGGCGGAGATGTGGAGTCGAATCAACATGATCCATAAACGTCACCACATGCGACATAGAGACCGAGCCAGGAGTCCTCCGAGATGCCGTCGCCCAACTGAAAATCAGGTATCATCGTTCATCGCTCTTCCTAGTTCGCAATCGCGAACGGTTTTGCCTCGTTCACAGACCTCATCGCGTGCGCAGGTCTCTTCTCAGTCGCGAGCATTTCCGTCCATTTATCTGGCTTCTTCGAGAACTTCATCTCACATTTCACAATCGCTAACTTCTTCTCAATCGCAGTCGCAACCAGATTCGAGGAGGAGTTCGCAAGTATGGTCCCAAAATGCTTCTCTAAGTTCGTATCACAGTTTGCAGTCGCGAACCCCATCTTCAATTTCGCAATCGCGAACTCGTTCTCAGTTCCCAGCGGTCAGCAACAGCCTTTCTTAGTCCGCAGACATCAGCTATCAGTTCGCAGGTATCATCTCCAGTCGTTTATCCAACAACCGGAGAGAGAATCGGAATCATCGATCATCCCAGAGCTTCAACAACCGGCAGTGATGGAGGAATTCTATATGACACCTCGAATGGAAAAAAGTTTTGACAATATAGAACGACATATGAAGGAGATGGAAGCGGATATGAAAGTTATGTTGAACAAGATGAAAGATATGTTGAACAGTATGGATCAACATCATCGCAGACATCGATCTAGGAGCCCTAAAAGTCGTCGGCCTTCAGTGTATCCCAGTTTGTTGCCAAGTGGGCATGTTTCTTCTCAAGCCGCGTTTCACTGTGCGCTAGCTCCATCGCCAGAGGATTCTCACACTTGGCAAGCTTCACCGCTCCGTTTCGAGTCTGTTAACCCGCTGCAACCTTCCTCTGATGATAGTAAAAGAAGTTTAGAATAAGGAGGAATTGAGACTGAAAAGCTTGATTCATTCCATGAAATGATATCCTATTTATACGACATTTTAGAGCTAGGCTACTAATTATAATATTAAATACAAAGATTTGTAACTGAAATATTAAATACAAATATTCTAATTTATTTTGTAACTCATGTAACTGATCTCTAGAGCTGTCTAGACTCTTCTGTCTATATGCCCCCGCAAGCCAGGTATTCTATCAGTGCTGAGAATCCTGAGCTTGTCACGTAGAAAAACAAACCGTTGTCGTGAAAGGGGTTTGGTGAGAATGTCAGCTAGTTGATCATGCGAGGGGATATGAAGAACCCGAAGAAGACCACGTTGCACACGTTGACGAACAAAATGGAAATCAATGGCAACATGTTTCATTCGGGAATGGAATACCGGATTGGCAGAAGAGGTGGTAGCGCCTTTATTGTCACATAGAAGAACTGGAGGAGAAGAAGGGGAATGTCGAAGCTCATGAAGAAGTGACTCAATCCAAAGAGTTTCAGATGCAGCAGTGGATAGGGCCCGATACTCTGCTTCGGTTGAGGATTTGGCAATTGTGCGTTGCTTGGAGGACTTCCATGAAATAATCGATTCTCCGAGAAAAATGGCATAAGCACTGGTAGAGGATCGGTCATCTGGATTTTCGCCCAGCCTGCATCAGCATAAGCACACAATGAAAGGTGAGAACTCCGACGGAGATATAAACCATGAGAGGCTGTTCCGTGAAGATACCGCAAGAGACGTTTCATGAGCTGCCAATGGTTCACCGTGGGTTTGTGCATAAACTGGGCTAGCTTGTTGATGGCAAAGGCCGTATCAGGTCGGGTGAGGCTTAAATACTGAAGTGATCCAATAACTTGACGATAGAGAGTGGCATCACAAGAACCTGAGCTATCAAACAGAGTCAAGGAAGCTGAGGAAGCTAAAGGCGTGGATACTGGATTCGCCTCGTGCATGTTCAACACCTGTAATAAATCTGTAATGTACCTGTGTTGATCAAGAAAGAGTCCATCTGATGCAGGGGTAACCTGTATGCCCAAAAAGTAATGTAATGACCCCAAATCCTTAATGGAGAATTTTTGTGCTAACAAGTTAATAGTCCGATGAATCAAGTCTGGTGTAGAGCCCGTAACAATAATATCATCCACATATACCAACACATAGATATAAGAGGGATGAGAAGAAA